ATATATATATATATATATCATATAATTATATATACGTATATATATCATATATAATTATATATAAAACATTTTTTCCTGGGAATTTTCCTGTAAACAACATGAGGTTCAATTCTGCGTTACTCATTTTTGTATACTTCAAAATTTTTATTTCTTTTTTTTAATTTGGAGTTCTTGTATTTTTTTTCAAAACTCCATACTTACAACTAAAAAAAAATTTTAAAGTCATTTTTTATATGCATTTATTATAAACAGTTACACTGTTTAATCAAATGCTACTTTTATCCAACTTATGATTTTTTATGACCGATTGCTGCCAACCGAAGGTTGGCGAAAAACGGAGGGAGTATGCGTTTTTTATGATTTCTTCGGTAATTACATTATATTACAGTTTATTACTTTTCAAAATGAAGTTTAAATATTTGTTTTCTACAAAGTATGTTCGTAAATTTTTAAAGATTTTGTAATAATTTTAAATAGATCAAAAATGAACGAATTTAAGATACTTGCAATTGTAGGGATGAGGCACTGAACTTGGGCATAATAATAAGAGATACATGAGAAAATGTTGAAATAAAACAATCCCAGAACGGTCACGAAAAAGTGAAAGTTGTACTCTCCTTTGAAAATATAAAATAATACAAAACGCGATTTTACATAAGAATCAATCCTAGAAGTACAATTTACATTGGCGCAATATACATATATATTACTCCTATAGCACAAAAGTTGCAGCAACAATGCATGTTGCAGCAATATTGCAGCGTTATTGCAGCGATATTGCTGCAAATTCTGTACTGTATACTAATATAGATTTTCGTATGTAATGCAGATTCACAAGTATTGTAGACTCTATATATTATGTGCGTGTGGATAAACAATAATTCATTCACGAGTGATATATATTGCTCCCTGAACTCACCCGACTCATTTGAATCATGACTTTTACCACTAGATTTCTGTAGTATTTCTTGTAATTTGCGAAGAAACATTATCGTCTTCCTTTGTATTTGATCTTCCAATTTCTTACATGTCTACAAAGATAAGAAACGCGTAAGTGCTTTCCGTTTTACCCATAAGATACGCATCATTAATTAACATTTGATCAATAACAAATATAACAATGATGCATTATTATGTGTTAATCCGGGAGAGAATAGGAGCGTCCTGGTCATTTTGACCGAAATATATTTTCGCACATATATGTGTTATAACTAGAATACATATATGATTATAATTACTATAAGTAATAATTAATAAGAAAATGAGACTACAAACACTAATTACACTAACGTGAGTTTACGTACTATTGCATACCAGGACGGACGTGTTCCAGCTCGGTTTGGGTGTTGCATTATCCCTAATTTTTTGTCATGCTGCCGAGCTTTTTCGTGATTGTTTCTTTTTTTTTATTTGTTACCTGCATTTTCGAACTAGTTTATGGCCAAATTGCGGCCGGTTGCGAGAGCCAATAAAAGAAAAAAAAGAAGACTAATGTAAGTGCGCGTGTTACGGTCTTTTAGACCGACTGTTACAAACATCAAATTTTCGGCTCTAATTTACGGCTCTTTACAGCTCTTTATGGCAGTTTTGAACACTTCTTAAAACTCCTTAATGCCTAAATACCTGCTCGATTGAAATAGATATAAGCGTGTTTACGTCAGCTATTTTCGCATACTATACGAAAAAACATTAACAAACTTTTACGTAAAGGTAAAAATATAATAGTGCCAATAAATTGAAAGATATAAATAGAAGACGGAAGAGTACGGCAAAATGACCGGTACGCGATCACTCCTGGGTTAGAAATACGTCAATATTATATAATTATGTATGTTTATCATTACCTTTCTAGTTTTCAACTTAGTTTTCGCTTTTCTCGCCATTTTTTTTCTCTCTATTATCGGCTCTAATTTACGGCTCTTTACAGCTCTTTACGGTAGTTTCAAACACTTCTTAAAACTCCTTAATGCCTAAATTTTTAAGATGGCGAATCAAGTATAAGGGCCGATGTACAACATTCGCGCAATATTTCGTGATTGGTTGTCCAGTTACGAGTCCGTTTACCAATCGCTTTTGAAAATTCATGAAAGATGACAATTCCGTATAAACGAGAACTTCAACTGGTGCTTTCCATTTGATGACACAGGTCGACACAAGTGTCGTTCTATCTTTGTCACTCTCCAGATGTCAACAAGGATAGAACGACACTTGTGTCGACTTGTGTCATCAAATGGAAAACACCCAACGTTGTTTCACGTGGTCTCGTTTACGCGACCGGCGAGAGGCGAGGTTAGGTTAGACGCGTTTCGCGACATCGATCCCCCGTGGATAATTGATTGAATTTTGCAAACTTTGATTTTATCACCCGTAAATATAATCCGAAAATTTTGAGAGAATGGACTCGTTGGCGACGGGGAACTTGACCGGTTTGCAGCGGGACGAGCTGATGCAACAAGTGAAGCAACAAATAGCGGTTGCTAATGCCCAGGAATTGCTCACGGTATCGTTATACAACATCTTTTCCCGACAGCGCATCTCAACTGACTGAAAGTTACACGGTTTTACACATATTTGCAGAAAATGACGGAAAAATGCTTCAAAAAATGTATAGGCAAGCCGGGCACCTCGCTGGACAGCTCGGAACAGGTAAATTTTCCCTACACTGAATCTAACCTTAAAGAGTTGCCTCAAAAACGCCCGAGGTAATAAACCTGTTTATTAAATCCCATGGTTTTCTAAGACTATCATTAAATTAACTAGAAAATTTTTAAATGAAAAATATTCCATGCTTATACAATCGTTTTGAAATTTGTGTTGTACCGGATGATTTTTTATTAACTCCTCGTTAATTTTGTTATTGTAATCTATTTGAATTGATTCCCCGTTTTCTGATTTAATTGATTCAATGATTTGTTTACAGAAATGTGTAGCAATGTGCATGGATCGATACATGGACTCATTCAATCTTGTATCAAAAACGTATAGCGAACGACTTCAAAGAGAACGCAACAGAATGTAAATACTGGAATTTATGGAAATATATTGTTACTTGTTATATACACTGTAATTTAATGACACCATTGCAGTGTCATATACTGTCTGTTAGTTATAGAAATATATTTGTACATTGCCAGGTAAAAGGTACATTATCATATCACTACTAGTTTTCTCTCAAGGCATTTAATACGATGCATTATTGTAAATAACGTATGATACTATTAAAGTGCAGCATATAACATGGCGTCATTGAAAGTATGCTCACTTATTCATTACGATTTTTACATTTTTCTATGTAGTAAATATACAAGTTAAGTGCCTTAAAAGGATCTTAAAGTTGTCTGTGTTTTACCGATTACTTTTCAAATAAGTATTTTTCTAAATACCTTTACAGATTTAAAAATCTTTTTTCACAGTTAAAGCATAAACGACAATAAAATAGTCCACTTTATGGTAAAAATAGAAAAAAGTTGAAAAATATAATTTTTTGTTGGCTTCTGACATCAACTTGTAACAAGATTTGCTTTATAAGAGTTTTGTATAAAACAAAATTAGAAAATTTGTAGTGCGTAGTGTTTCAACATTGAGAATGACCCAATAGGAGTCGAAACGTTTGTTAATAAACTTATGTTATTGTAGTTGTTCTAGCATTAAGATCCAGCTTGGCTTGTAGCCCTTGTTTTTATTGTTAATAATTTTTAGATTCAATAACTTATCTGAAAAATTATTGTTCAAAAACACATTGTTACGAATATTTAAGTAATCCCAGAAATATTAATTTTTAAAAAGTTCCCAAATTTTTGGCTTTACGCAATCTAGAGTGTGGTGGAAGTTTGATGGAAACAAAATAGAAAGTTTTAGCGAATTCACCGAGCAACAAAGAACAAACCTCTTTATTGAGGTTGCAAATTACACAAAGGGACTGGAAACATACTATATTTTTACAGAAATATAGTGATGGAAAAGAAATTAGCGACAATTGCAAAAGAGAAAATTCTTTATAAAATAAATAACATATACACATGAATACACATATTATTACATTATAGTTGAAAATCATAAATAAGTAATATAAGTGTCTCGTAAAACCCACAATGCCACAGTACTTCTTTTTTTATTATTATTTGCATTCTTTATAATTATTTCATATACACTAAAAGGCACGGTATTAGCTACCAATGTTTCAACGTGGTTACAAAATAATTATCTGCAATCGTGTAAAGGAGTATCGTAAAGCAGGTTGTTTTGTTACTATCAATGCCTCATTCATGAAGTTTCAAACTGTGAATTATGAATAACTACGACTATGTGGCTATCTATTCTTCTCTCTTGAAAATATCGAGACTGCCTCTCCATAAAATTTATGCATTTAAACTGTATGTTATATATGTACATACATTTTTCATAATAAAATTATTACTTGATTTAACATACAATCAACTTCGGATATGTTTCTCTCACAAAAGTTGCGTCAAACAATGATCAAAAAGAAGATATCGTTTATCCCCGGATAAATACATTCAAAAACATTACGAGTCAAACAGTTGACAATACATCTCGATGAATATTCTTTGAAGAGACAATCTATAAGTTTTACATATGCCTTCTTTAAATATATCTACAATACAACATGCGAAGAAAAAAATCAAATGACACGTAAGCGTGATATAGTCCCAAAATTACGATTAAACGAGACTCGCCTGAGAAGAAATATATCTCGCAATCACCATGTGCGATCAATTCCCATTGAAAGCGAAACTTTCTACCACTCCCAAAGATCGAGTAAAACCTGTAGCCGCGGCGGATACAAAAAACGCTTCTTAAATTATAGTCTTACAGTCTATGATGAGAGATATACTTATTCTGTAAACATGCGTGCTAATGGTAACGACATAACAAAAATATCGGCTTTAGTATGTAACATTGGAATGTATCTATCTCTCGTCTAGATTCTACAGAGTGTAGGAATGTTCAAATGCAGTCCTGAATCCTGTCGTCAAGATTGCCATGTCGATAATAGAATGTAACCACGCTGATTGATCAGGAACACACCTGCTTTTTTTTTCTTTTCTTTTCATCGGTTTTTTTAAATACACATCAGGATAAACGGTAGTTCGAACTAAGCGATTCCGTTACCGCGAACGTAATGTTGAGACGAAGGGACTCGTACTATGCAAGGCGCTTTTGAGGTCTGTATAAAATTATTTTTATCTCTTTATCTCACTATCACTTACATATTAATTATGTATGATATACCAGATTAATACAAAAATAATGTCGGTTTTTTACTTTACTGATTCGATTCAAACAACAAATAACTATTAATTGATCAAAGCCTGTTGATTAATTAGTTCCTGTGTAATCTCTTGAGTGGTTAATAGATCCGCTTCAAAAAATAATTACTTGCAAGGTCATTGTCAATGAATGCAGGTTGTCTTCAAGACTGTCGCCTTCATTACGAATTTTTTTAATCATACTGTCCGTTCACTTTCTGACTGAATACTTCATTAATTCTTCGATTCGTTTACTCTATTTTAAAACCTAGTTTGAATTTATATTTAAAAAATTTGGAATTGCTTCTTTTTCATATTTAATAATAATTATAATAATTGATCACAAAGTCAACATTGAAAACAAAATTACTAGTATAATTAATAGAGCGGAATCTGCGCTTGAAAATGATGCTATCAACACAATTGAACATGTCCTTATTACAGAATATATATATATATATATACACACATAGAGTCCCAAAGTTTAAAAACCGACATTATTTTTACATCAACCTAATATTATTATATGCGTTAAACATATGTATAATAGTACAAAGATTAGCTTGTAAAGATGAAAAATAAACTGTGTGCGTGTGAAATGAAAATTGATTAACTTGACAATCATCTAATTTAATTGATAGAAACTTTTATTATTCATTTTAGTGTTTTTACGAGAGTCGTTTGAAAAGTTCTGAGCCTAACATAGAAACAAGTATTTTTTCGATCAAATTCAATTTTATTTTTCAACACAGTCTCCTTTTACACTTTTCCCAATGATGCTCCTTCCCCTTTAACACAGTTGTTGGTCGTCCCGAACGCTCATCAGCCAAATTGGTACGATCACGTTTAAATTCAGTTGCCCATCTTTTCACGGTGGCAAATGATGGAACAGAGTTCTCGTAAACAACGTCCAACTCTACTTTAATTTACGCAGGCGTATATTGCCTCTCAAATGCAAAAACTTATAGCGTATTCGATTTACTGACTCGATCCGACTCCGAGTCAGTAGTCTGTTCTGTTTAACTACAAAAGAAGAGCTAAATTGTGTAAGAAATGCAGCTAAAAAGAACAGACTGTTGACTCAGAGTCGGGTCGAGTCAGTAATCGAATACGCTATTAATCACGGCATGATATTCAATTTTTTCCATTTTTATAAAAACACTGACATTGACTTGCACAAATGACTCAAACAACTGAGCGTCCAAAATGGCTACAATTTTCACAGGTATCTTTTAAAGCATGTATGATTATAGTACCAGAATGGTTTTGATGAGTAACGTCATCTTCACATGTTGAGGCTTAAAACTTTTCAAATAACCCTCGTATTATTTTCCTACGCCTAACGATATTTTCTATTGCAATGAGACTCGATTGAAATTTATAACTGGATTTACTGTTTACCTTACTATGTAATTTGTCCCTTCCTCTCACATTATGCACATTGTTGCTATCAAAATAAATATTTATTTCGTAATACATTTATATTGAATCTGAATTCATATAATACAGGTAATAATAATTATAAGTATATAAATATACAGTAAAAAATGCTGTAAATATTTGAGCACAGTATTTCTTTGACTCTTCATCTGGCATGTGACAAGTTTCTGTGTGTGATGAGAGAATTACTATTCAATTTTGCTGGATTAAAAGTTGCATGAGTGACGGAATTTCTTCGTTCGAACCAAACATAAATTTTAATGTAATACAGTCTAACCATTAATAAAAGTTCTTTTTGTAAAGCTGGCTGGCTATATATATTTTTTACAAAAAGATTTTGATTTGTCAAGCATCTAGTTGATTCATCTCTATAATTATAAATTGTACTTAATTATAATATTATTGCATCCTATATGGGGGCACAAAATATCTGCATTAAATGTTTTCTTTTCTTTCTTTTTTTTCAATTGAAATGTATTACCAAAAATGAATATTCTAATCTAGCTTTCACTAATTTCCTGCGAATCATAGATGCAAGAAAATATATAAGCACCTAATTTTTTGTCTTTTTCTTAGATAACGTTAACTCTCATAAATAACTTTAGCTTCAAATACTTAGCACCATTATATTCAAAAAATTATTTGATGGATTTTTTTAGGCAATCCATTTCTAGACGGATGATTTCCTGATATTGTTACAATATCATGTCACTTTATATAAAATGAGGTAATGGACAATGTTCAGTCATAAAAGTAAGGGCAGAGATATTTCAGTAAACACAATAAAATGCTAATAGAAAGTTTCTTAAAAAAAAAAAAGAGAGAAATGTAATTAAATTATTAACGAGCAGTAACTCGTATATTCTTTCTCTTTTTTTTTACTGTTCTCTAAATTATCATAACACTCTCTTGCGTAATATATTTATAAGAGTAATGTAATACTAGTGTATTGTTTACATAACGTAGAAGGTAGCCTGTCTGAAGTTAAATAAAATTATTTACTTTATAATATTCAATACGTATTGTTCTTCTTTATCAAGATATAGGTAAAAAGTTTGAAATTATTGCAAATTTTCTAATTATATAACTGCTACTTCATATGATTCTATATGTATTTCTTCGCATTTCACAGTATTGTTAATTTTTTAATGAATGACAGAAAATACTCTTTTTATGTACATAAATAAGAAATACACCTCATATATGCTTCTTAGTAACAGTATGTCAATCATATTGCTTTTTTTAAATTATGCAATGTCTCAGATAATCTATGAAAAAGATGATGATTATTCACAACACGCATAGTTATTGCAAACTATGATATTGTATTGATAGTTTCAGAGTACCGCTTATCTTTACAAATCGTACAAAAATATGATATCATCTGTGGTAATACGCATTCAGACATTTTCCTTCTACGTTTTTTTTTCTTTGCAGCGCAACTTATAGTATTGAGCCACACAGCTTGGCAGTGCCTTTCAGAAACTATGAAGTTAATTCTGCGAGTTCCTGAA